AAGTTGCTCAAAACCTACATATGGTATTGATACCCTACCATATGTAGGTTTTGGGACAACTTTAGGGTGTCCCAAAGGGTGTAGGAAGTTGTTTCAAAACCTACATATGGTATTGACACTCTACCATATGTAGGTTTTGAGACAACTTTAGCGTGTCAATATACAAGTGTTTACAGACTTACAGCTGGATATCTCGAATTCCGGGATGAACTTACTATAAGAACTGGACTAAATAGAACTTCTATATTAATGTACTCATTATTCTTGTTTTTTTGTATAAAAAGATACTCCAAACTAAAATCTTCTAAAAAAAGTTAAACTAATCTATAATATTTATTTTTACCCATTTTAAACCTGAGAACACTTACATGAGAAGAATTCAAACGTGTCTATTGAGTAATATGAATTTTTTGTTGAAATTTTATTTAATTGTCTGGATTGACTAATGATATGTCTTTCATAAATTAACTTCGTAAAGTCATTCTAAATCGTTTGGCACAACTATTCGAAAAGCACATTTTTATATAGCGAAGGAAATAGATTTGGCCTGGGTAAGTTGGGCTCAATACCGCCTGGGTATAACACCGACTAAAACTATAGTTTTTCTTTTGACCCTTGTCCCAACAGAAACCGCCGTTAAGCATTGCTCCATGGGGGGAGGATCTAGTGCATCTATACGTGATAACAACTCGAACCACCATTTTATACACAGGTAATAAATACATTTTAATCGATGTTTTCGTAAATGTCATAAGCCGATTTTGATGACTCAGTTGAGAAAAATATTAGTTGGAAATCGAGTTTATTTATTGAAAATAAAGATCGGAGTGCAGTTTCTTTGAAGGGTTTAAATTATCGTTAACATCTATTGTTCTTATATAAAATTCGACCGATTCAATAATATTAGGTTAAATAATAACTTGTCAATATTAGTGAAAATTGAATTTGTTCATATATTTAAACTAATTATTTTTTCACTAATTTTGACAAGCTATGTTAGTAATTGACGATTGAAGATATAAATTTCCTTCTACATTCCTTATTGGCTCTGATTAGTATCCAATATAAAGTGCTCTACTAAATCACTCAAAATTTGTAGTTGAAAACGAGTTTTTGGCCATTCAGAAATAACTGACATCTGAAGAATCTTATTGATAACCCCAATAATTTTCCGATATTTTTGAGATTCATGCAACTTGCGTTTAAGAAAAATTTCAATTAATCTTTAATAAAATTTGGAATTACAGAACGAAATATTCGATTTACTTATTTTTTGAATATTTTACCATATATCCTTTGTGGTTAACGTAACGTTATGAACAGTCCTAATAAATTGTTGTAGTGTAAATTTATAATAAACCCTAAAATCACCATTGATTGGTATCCAATGCTACGAAGTGGATTGTTAGTGGATTGGTATCCACTAACTCACACGAAATTTCTAGTTGAAAACGATTTTTTGGCCATTTTTGCAATTCAGAACATATTGAAATATGACGATTCTTCTAGTTTACAACCAGATAATTTGAAATTCATGCAACTTGCATACAGACCAAATTTCAATCACTCTTTATTAAAATCTGGAATCACAGAATGAAATATACAATTTCCTCAATTTTTTTTCTAATTTTAAGATATATCCTTAGTGGTCACCGTAACATTATGAACAGTCCTAATATGTTGCGGTAGTGTAAATTTATGAAAAACCCTATAATCACAGTAAGGGCACTGATGCTGGGGTTGTTTTCCGCATTCGTATCTCTTGTGCGACGTCAAATGCTTTTTGTGCTTGTACGATCGGCCGCAAGCTGCACAGTGATGTTGACGCATGCTGAGCGCCAAAGCCCTCATGTCGTAGAAAATCAACGGATCGCGACCTGCGAATAGAAGGGTGGAATTAGAGAGAGCTTTCGGGGAAAAACCATACCTGACTACGGAAGTAGGCTAATGAAAAAATACATAGATTTAATAGATATTGATACTTATTGAATAAATTTATGTCATATATATATATATAGTATTAATTTATTTCAAAGTTTTGTACAATGTTGATTGGTATATAAAATATTTTATTTTGTGTTAATAATTTTTAATTTTAACAACTATTCTACTTTTCTCTTAATAATTTCTATTTTATTTTTATTCTATCTGCTTGTCTATTTTGAAAAACAAACTGGTATAGTTTTTGGATTTGCACCTAGAGTAGACCAGGGCACAAAGGTCTAATTAGACTTTGATTAATTATATTGTGAAAGCTAAACCAATTATATCACAACAAATAACACATATTTAACAAACAACTATCTGACTATGTTCAGTAAACCTCCCATCATTGTAGAAATATGCTGTTTTAAAAAAAATTCATCTGGTCCTTTCAACCCCATAGGTAGGATAAAATGGGACAAACAGGGGACAAACACGTTAAAAGTCTTTGTTTTTTAATATCAAAAGGATTGTTCGAAATATTAGCTATATTATTCAACGCAAAATATAAATTTTATTGGTACATTTCTTACAGAGATACACTGCATATAACCTTGATCTGGTATTTTGCCAGAAATATTCATCAGCAGGGTTAGAATAACTACATACTACAATATCTTTAATAAAATTGCTTTTTTAAATTTATTTACTATTTTTTATTGTTTACACCTTTGCGAATGTAAAGGTTCAGGTGGTTCTTTTTACCTCTACCAACGTGTAAGCTCTTGTAGAGGTTATATAAAAATTGTTTTATCTAACTTAAAATTAACAATTTATCTCATAAAACAATTAAATAACGCATACTCAAAAATATATATTAAAGTCTCGTAAACTAAACAACAGTGTTCACAATCAGAAAAACTAACAACGAAAGAAAATACTTTTGTCATGAATTGTTGTTTATCTCCATGGTTATACATCTTTTTCCCTCAACTTACAAATATTTTTGTTAATATTTTTTAAATACATAATTTCTCTCGTTACTATAAAACTACAAACAACTATATATAGTTAAAAAAATATCAAAAATATTTGTAAGTTGAGGGAAAAAGACGTAAAACCACGGGGATAAACGGCGATTCATAACAAAAGTAATTTCTCTCGTTATTAGTTTTTTTGGCTGTAAGCATTGTTATTTTGTTTACGAGACGTTAATATATATTTTTAAGAATGCTTTATTTAATTATTTTATAAGATATATTGTTAATTTTAAGTTAGGTAAAAGAGTTGTTTTAATACCTAAGGTACTTGTTTTGAGTTATCGGTGATGGATTTTTTTACCCGCGGATCTTTGACCTCCGCTCTACCGTAGATGTTAGTAAAATTACCTTATACTAGTCTATACAAATTTTGTATTTTGGTCATGTTTGATTTTGAATTTGATTTAAACTGATAAAAAAATATTATTATATTATTAATAGTTTCTTGTCTAAACTCATAAATATATGTATAAAATATATAAACTAAAAACTTACATATTTACATCACTTATTTTAAAAAAATATTTTTAAATACATATTTGTAACTGTATATTTGTTAATTACACAGGTCCACAAAAAAAAGTCTATTGGATGTGCGACATATGTTTTCCAATAGTTTTTACTGCTGAACACGAATCTAAAGCCAAAATTGGAGGTCAACTATGAAAAAGATTAAACAAGAATTTAATTTAAGGCAAAATTTAGGATCTAGTCGTTCTTCTGCATAATAATCGAAATTTTATAATTTCTGTCGTTTCCTGGCCCTTTTCACCTTAAATGATTATTCAGTTTCACTTAAATTATGTATCAAATTTTTCTCTTGTAGAATACAGCAGTAATTTGCAAACATAATTTCAGATATTAAATTGCTAATATGTTTGCAGATTCCCAGGAGCAATGGGAAATATGTTTGCAAATTGATGTTGAAGGGTACAAAAAAAAACTCAGTAGATCATTTAAGTGAAACTCAATATAGTCATTTAAAGCAAAAAAGCCAAGAAACGGTAGAAATTATAATATTTTCATTATCAAGCAGAAAAAAATCTAGTTCGGAGATTTTGTCGTTTTTGTATTTTTTTTCTATTTTTGTAGTTTGATCCCTAATTTTGGCTTAGATTTGTATTCAGCGGTAAAAACTACATTGGAAACATATTTCACACACCAAATAGAGACAACTTTTTTCTTGGGGACCTGTGTTATTAGCAAATTGACATGAATTATTTAAAAGTTGTAAATGCGCATAAATGTTTAATATTGAAATATAATAACATATATTTAATACAATATAAATAAATTGTACAAAAATAATACTTGAGAAATAAAAAATCTTAAACTAATTTTGAATAAAATCAGAGTATAATTTGCATAAGTTAATCCTTTTGCTAAAAGTGTCATCTATGTCCAAAGAGACATCCGCAAAACTACCTATGTGTACGAATGTCATTTATAGACGACATTCAGAGTATCGAACCTTGCGTCGATACATAAAATAATGAGAATCATATTTTTTATTGTAATTTTTAGATTTATCTCCTGAAGCAGGTGAAGCATTATTGGTCATTCAAAAACTAAAAAAAAACTAAAACAAAGCTGCACTGGACTTCTTGTTGATCCGTATAGCAGAGTGTCTCTTCCATGAAAAATACTTCTATAGCGAAAGGGTTAAAATGAATCGAACTTATGCAATATATTATGTAGAAACTATGAAAATTAAAATTAAAAATCATCAATTAAATCATATTAAAAATAATGATCGTCGAATCAATTGAATGCCGAATGCAATATTCCATACGCAGAAAATAGCTTTATTCTAAATAGATTTAGGATAGATCTCGTGCTTGGCTTATTAGTCCATCGAGCATATGGCGTTAGTATAAAAGAAATAGAAAATATCGACATTTCTAATAATAATTAAATTATAAATTCTATAATTAAAATACTTTAGATTACTGAATTACAAATACAAAATTACTCTATATTTACTCCTGACGCTTATGTCTTGCAACATGCACTGTAAGTTGCTGCGCTAATCGAAAAGTTTCATCGCACCAGGGACATTTTAACTTTTGTCCTGCACAATTTTCAAACTGCAAATGTTCATTTAATGAATTTTTGTGCGAATACCACGTAGCACATCGTGGACATCGATATCTTGGAGTAAAAATTGGGCGAATTCTATTGATCTCGGTACTTGAAGAAATTGATCCGAAGGAGCAATGTGGAATATGAAGTTCATTTTCCTCTATTGAAAATTTCGATTTTTGTAGATTTGGTTCGGCAATTTTTGATAATTTGATGACACTTATCGATGGTGCTTCTGTGACAATTTTTTTGGGATTCTGTAGGATCTTGCTTAATGTGCTCGGAAATCCTGAAATATTAGAAATAGTCAGAATAGGTTCTTTAAACACAAATATTACTGGAATATTACTGAATTAGAGGTATTGTAGTATTTGCATACAGATAGGATATTATACAATATAATAAATTAATTATGATAACATTGTTACTTATATGATAAATTTAGAAATACCTCCAATTAATATGTGGGTTTATTTGTTTATCCAAGAATACATGTTTAGTTTTACTGCATATATCATCAACAAATATTGAGAAGTTTCTGAAACCACTATCTAATATATATACATATATATACAAATATTTTATAATAGTCAATATTCTTATGAGAAATATATACATAACTTACAATTTCTAAAATTTCGTCATATATATGAGTCACAAATGGCACAAACTTTAAACCCTAATCTGATTGATTTTTCTAATTGATGACAATTTTGCATAAATTTTTAAATAACTAAGATTAATGAATTACAGATTATATAAAATCATTAATATTGTGTAATGATTTAAATGAATCCACTTCGGAATCTGCCACCTCATGGTATCTCTGCAAATGGTTTTTTAAATCCTTTTTCCAGTAATACATTTTATCACAATAAAAACATTTGAATTGCTTGTTTTTTCCACAAGATAATCGTAAATGTTTTCGTAAGTTGTGCTGTTCTGTATATGATCTACCACACATTAGGCATGGAAAACGCTTGAAATAACCTGGAATTAAAAAAAAATTGGTTATTGAAAAAATCACAATAGCAAAAGTTTTTATTGATCAAACAAAGAAAAAAATTAATTTTGAGATAGGGTCTAAAGAAAGACAAATGTTCAAGTTATCATTTACTTTTTTCTCTGCTAACTGGTCAGTTAACAAAATTATTGCTAATCAACCGTACCCAGTCTCCCCTACATTGTAGAAACATGTTTTACAAAAGTGCACTTTAATATAATATATACAATATATAATACATAACACTAATTAATCTAATATATAACTAACTTAAAAGAATTTGAACAATTTTATTGACAATCTAAAGCCCGGTGCACACGACGCTAGTATTCCTTGTAACATGATTTCTATCGTAACAGGATTTCTAGCGAGCAAGAATTTTGCGCCAGATTTTCACTTATTTTATTATTAATATTAATTTCGTGCATTTTCAAATAGATTATTATAAATATATACTGTGAATTTCACAATTTATATTTTATAGGTCTAAAATACACTAATGCTTATAAGTGTACAAACAGGGAATTGTATGAATTGTAAACAAAAACATGTATGTATCGCATCTGATTAGAATTAGGTGAAACAATAATAATTAAAAGATAATAAAATGCTTCAGTTTAAGAGGCACAACTAGTGTGAAATTTTCTAAAAGTCGAATTTTCAATTTTTCATATTTCGATAGGTTATACCTTTAAAAATAACATACCAAAATTTCAAATCGATATCTTAAATAGTTTTTGAGTCACATCCATTTAAAGAGTATATACATAGTATATAGTATAACGATCATTTTATCTTTAAACGCGTTTTTCTCGAAACAGCATTTTTCGAATTTGCTGCAGCGATTCCTCAAAAACAAATGATCCGATCACTATTAATTTTATTTGTACATGTTTTATATATAGTTCTCCGTAAAATAAACTATCGATTTTTTGATAGGATCAAAAATCGAATTTTGGCAGTCCAAAAACTTTTTTTTTAAAAAACGCCGCCATTTAATCAATTTTTGATTTCTGTTTTATCGTAGTTAATTTTGCAGACAATATTATCTAGTTTAACGAATTTTTTTTTTGGATTTGATCCACGTAGACGGCCGGAATCACTGCAGCAGTGAAGGGCCTTTTTTGTGCCGTTGGAGATCGACGATAACATAAAAGATATTTGCTTTTTTTCTTCAAAAATTTTGAGATGTGCTGATTAGTTTTTGGCAAAGGCAGGTCCAGCAATTACAGAGATGAAGAGCAATAAGTGCAAAAATATAAATCGAGTTTTTGAGAGAACGGAGCATTCGATTTGAATGATCTAAAAACATTCAACTAGTAATGATTGGGAGAAGTGGTATTTAGTTTTTGGCAAAGGCAGGCCCAGCTATTTCGAAGATATAGAGCTAAATGTGCAAAAGATGGCAGTTTTTGAGAGAACTAAGCGTCCGATTTAAATGATTTAAAGAACTTCCTGCTTGTTTTAACGAAATAATTGATTTTGGAGAAAAAATTTCTTGTTTAAAATTTTTTTTCAAAAATTTTTTTTTCGAAAAAAAATTTTTTTTGTATATCGAAAATAATTCATATTTTTATTTTAATTCTGTTCTAATATTCTTTACACAAATTATTTCAACTTTCCAATTCAGTTTATATAATTCTTATAAATATTAGACCATGTTACAATATTTATAATAATCTATTTTAAAACATTTAATATTCCTCGATCATTTCGTTAGTGTACGGGAAGTTCCAGCAATTTGCCTTAAGGCACGATGCCATACACCCCACTATTTTTTTTAATTTTGAGTATTTTTGCAAATTTCGAAATTTTTGAAATAAAACGATTTGATTTTTTTTTTAATTTTTTGGAAATTTTGAAATTTTTTGATATTTCAGATAAAATTACAAAAATTTGAATAAAAAATGCATATTTAATTTTTTTCGGAAATTTGAATATTTTAAAATTATTGAACTGCCTTTCCTAAACTAATCATTTATTCACGCCGCTATGTATACACAAATATCTATTTACAAAATAAAAACTAAACGCTTTCAAAATCGAAGTACATGAATCAAGTACGCATTGATATTTACGTGACAAAATACAGCTTTCCTATTGGACACTGAAGGTATCGGCCACGAGATAGTTCATCTCTCGCCGAATAGGACATGCTCTATTCCTAAAATACGGCAGGAATTTGCGAGGACATAAGTTGTTATGAAATCAAATTCCGATGTTGCTAAGGCAACGTTTTTACATAGAAATTATGATGAGTATACCGCCGTTGTGAATGCGTGAAATCTAGCAGGCCAGATCGCAAATTATGTCGCGCAAGATCGTAAATTATGACTTGATCATGTCGTTGCTAGAGTAACAAACAAACAAAAACTGTCCAGCATGAAAACTGGCGTCGTGTGCACCGGGCTTAATATATAACTTATTTAAAAATAATTTGAACAATTTTATCAATTAACTAATATATAATTCGTTTGAAACAATTTGCTCAAGTTTATATCATTAAAAATTAATTTTAACATTTTGAACTAAATTAAAATATTTATACAGCTCTTATTTTTACAAGTTTTTATTGTATGATAAATAATATTAAAATTAATGCTAATACGCCAAAGATTGATATATTTTGTACATATAAATATTTAAATTATTAACATTAAACAAATAATGTTTTGATTTCTTAACAATAGAACAAATTACTTTAACTAACAACATAATTGATTAACAACTGGTATTATGAGATTTAATTTTATAAACTATTAACTAATAATATAGAATTTAAAACAACAAGAATTCTGATGAGATATTTTACATATATGAGAATGAATTTAAATATCAATCAATATCAATTTAATTGCATTAGCACATAATTACAGCAAAATCTAAATTTATCTAAAGTGAATAATAAATATAAAATCTGCCAATTTAAATAAATTTCAAGTTAAAACTAGACACAAATACTTTTTAGTTTTTCCTCAATATAAATTTAACTCAATATGAATTTACTTAATGACGTGTGTTAATAACAAATATAAGAAACTTTCAATTGGCGTGCGCTCTATCGAAATGTTTATATTAAGAGCTAATACTATTAGAGATTCATTTTTTATTCATTTGAAAGCATTTGTGCCCTTGGGAGCAAAGAAATTCGAAAATGTCCTCGTTAAGGACCACCCTAATATACATGCATATAAAAATATATATATTTTTAATATACCAGATATATCTATTTTAAATAAATGTATATAGTATTAGTTATGTAAGTTATGTTTGCAACAGTAAAAATGATCTATTTTCATATTTTATAAATAAATTTAAAAAAATTAACTACGCCTTAACATTGGGTTAATTCATTCTTCAAGAATTGCTTACCAAAGAATATATGTTTTGATGAGTAACATTCAACTTCTTGTAATTATTTGGTAACTAAAATTACTTCCTAATTAATTGAAAATTGAAATAATTTACTTTTTATTTTGTAAACAAGTTTCTTTAATTAAACAATCACTAGAAATCTAATCGTAAATACACTAAAAATTATAATTAAAAATTCATTGAGCTCTTTGTACTATATATAGTGAGTACATATGAAGACTAAAATCATGAATTCATTTTTCATAATTAAATTCAGAAAAGAATTTATAATATTTAGTCTTGATATATACTGACAATAGTTAACATCTGTAGCTCGAGATATTTTTTATACAAATACCTTCGTACAATTTGAATTCTAGTGAGTGTTTAATTAAACCAAAAATAGTTAATTTTATTAATAGTTAAAGGTAAAAAGTATATTCTATCAATTTTCAAATAACTGAAGAAGTGTATGAAAAAATGAGAAAATGTATGTTTTTAATAGTTCTTGAAGAAGAAGATATCCCATATCCCCAGAACGTGCAAAATAGTTATAAATGAGAAATTAAATGAACAATTTTTTGAGGCCCTTAGTTCAGACAAATAAAATCATATATTAATATAAATAATTTGTAAAATGTATTGTGAAATTATTAAGTATAAATTACACGTATAAGACGCACTAAAAATTTATAAAACCGTCATTAAAACTATATATATCCAATTAAATTATTACGGTTTTCACTCTTTTATACCCGAACTATTCTTTCTATCACACGACCTATGATGTGTTCTTAAGTGCACTTTTTGAGCAAAACGTTTGCCGCAAGTTAAACAAAGAAATTGCCGCTCTTTGCCGCAGGATAGTCTTTGATGAGAAGTTAGATTTCTCTTATACTTGTAAACTCGATGGCATTGCTGGCAAGGGAAAGGTCCGCCGTCCACATCTGCTCCTAAACCAGGTGAGTAAACTTCTTGAATTTGCCATGGAGAACTGGATGACGAAAACCAGGATATTTCGCCACCTGAAAAATAAAGTAAATGTGTTAGAAAAAATAATTATGATAAAAAAGTAATCCGACACCAAATGATTTTTGTTTCTTAGAAATGACTAATTACAGTATAAATACTTTAAAGACTAAGTCAGCAATAAAACTACATTAGAAATATTTGAAATAATATTGGAAATACAGCCTAAAATTATATTAGTATAGTAGAATTAGTTTTATGATATGATTATAGATTTCATTTAAGAATATTTTTAGTTATCTTTATATTAATAAATAGCAGTATTATATACAAATGTATAATTTTTGTTGGGTACATTATTTGTAAAAGTAGGTCAACTTTCGTTTTCTCTGAAACAATCTAATATAAATAAAAAACCTTTACTATTGACATAATTTTTATTTAAAATTATATACACACAACGATCTTAAAATTAGATAAATACCTAAATTAGTTAAATTATTTGTATACTACACTTATTAGATGTAAGTAATTGCACTCATTATTATATCAAAATCTATAACATTCAAAATCTAATCCAATAAAAGTAGCATTTCTCTATATATTATGTAAAAGTATAGTCCAGAAAATAAAGACAAAACGCCACAGTTATTTTAAAAAAAATCTCAGGAACAATTCTAAATACTAAAATATAAAAGACTTGGTAAATTTCAATTCTGAGATAGAAATACAGTTTTTTTTGCCATATATAGGCATGATATTGCGCTTTCTAAATAAAATTTGCTATAGCAAGCTGCTTTTTCTTAAACATAGTTATGAGTTTTCTTATAGAATTGTACATTGACTTATATACAAACAAATTCAGAATTTAAGCAAAAAGATACTACAAGAATTAATGCAAATTTAAAAATACTCATTCTCGCCAGCTTTCTTCTAATATCTCTAAACTGACTTTCTTTTCTTTTCTTTTTGATTATTGATTTTTTATTCATCAATTCATTTTTTAAATCACCACGTTCTTTAATTAATATCATATAATATTAATTTGAAATAACTTAATATTTTATTAGATGCATTTTCTTAGTTGCAAAACTACCACCTCTATTGAAATATTCAATAAAAATTATTTTCAATAACATTAAATTAAAAATTAATTTTAAGAGTCTCACTGGTTCAGATGTTGTTCTTATTATAAAATAATACGATAATTTTAATATTTAGATTTTATAATAAACTACTTACTAAATTATATAGATGACCTTAATAAATTTGTACATATAATTAAAAGAATGGTAGGATTTTTCTAATTAAATAAATAAATCGAATGTATTACAAGTATAGAGGTTCATTATTAAGAAAAATTGTCAATACACATAAAAATTGCATTAAAATATATTTTATTATATATATATATATCTTAATGTTATTGTTTGGTATAATAGATTTGCGGTAGATAATATGAGGTTTGTTTCAATAGGCACTCAAAATATTAGCGACTATATTAAAAAATAAACTAAAATACTTGTAAATATTCTAATTTAAAACAAATTTTCCGAACCTTTAAATTTATATCTGAGAAAATCTATTCGAGTTAAAAATAACAGACACAAAGTTTCCTTTTGCAATTATATCTTAATCAATTTGTGAAGCCTATATTATTGTTTGTCAACACTGTTAGAAAAAATATATTTTTAATATTAATGTTAACTATTCTTATATTATTAAAACAATCATATGTTTTAGCTGCCTTAGTAATTAAAAATAAAATTCATTTTACAATTTGAAGTGACCATAATTTAGTGTACTAAAGCCCGGTGCACGCCACGCCAGTATTTCTTGTAACATATTTTCTGTCAGGTTTTTATCGTAAGGTGAGCGTGTGCAAAAAAATTTTTGTATTGGAATTTAAGTGAAAAACATAAATAATAAGATGCTTGAGTCATATTTTACGTTTACATACGCTTACCTTACAATAAAAGCTTGACAGAATATATGGTACAAGAAATACTGGCGTTGCGTACACCGGTTTTAAAACTTGGTTACATGTATAGTTTTATAAATATATATGTTACTACTTTCTAATTTGTTTCACCTTTACAATATATAAATATTTATTATGCATCTATTATTTTGATCCATTCTAGGGCCAATTAAATTTCTTTTGTATATTATTACTGAATCCAGAAGGTTCTTGAGGAAAATTTCGTCCAGAAGTCGAAACATCCGGATATTTTTGTAAACTAGGATCTCCTTGTTCCGTTGCATAGTGACTACTGCTCGTCGAACTATTACTTTTGGCTTCTTCAGATAAATTTGAAGCTGGCAGCATTTCTGCTGCTAAACTTTGGAACAATTGAAGCGCCTTAAATTTCTCCACATCGAGTATTTGGCTTCCAGCTGCTGGGTTGAGGTTGAGGTTGTTTTGAGGTAGCGGATAAGGAACTGGTAGATTTGGCATGACTTGCAAAATATCTTTATGTTTTCGTTTAATGTGTACTTGTAGTTGTCCCTTGTGGTGTGTTCGATGGGAACAATAAGGGCATCTGAATTGGGGTTCCTTGCCACACTCATATTTCAAATGGGCGGTTAGGGCTAGTTTTGTTTTGTACGTGCGAGGGCATTGTGGACATGGTACCCGGTGTGGGTCCATTTGATTCCTTTCTCTAGGGAATAATTGGCGTTGGTATTGCTGCATATTTTTGCCAAAAGTTGATGGGAGGCCTGGAAAAATGCAAAATATTAGAATTTTTAACTTGATGTTAAATTTAAAATGATATAAATGTAGTGCAGAGGAGTTTGCAGTGCTATTCACAAGATAGAAAATATACATTATTAAAGACTTTAATTAATTTATTGACTTTGTACATATATTTAAGTACAAACAGCTTATAGTTCAGAACAATAAATTTATATTCTGATTGTATATTGATATATGTAAAATTTAATAATTTAAAAGGAAAAAAGTTTAATAAATAAAATTACACATAAAAACTAAGTAAGATTTAATACTATTTTAATACATATTGAAAAAAAGTGTTGAAAATTTATTGACACTATATTTTCGAGTAATCGTCATATTTTTTGGGCAACTGCACATTTATAGAGTCCATTATATCCTCTTGATCAGGCGTCGGCAACCTACGGCACCTGATGGGTTTCTAAATGGTTTAGAATCTTGCGTGAAATTAAGTAACAAAGTTATACTCCTAATATTGAAATATTAGGCAAAAATGTACAAGGCCAATGTTTGCATTAAAAAATTTTAATTTGTATTAGAATTTTATAGTATATATTTAGATAAATATGCTTAAAAATAAATTTGGTATAAAATTTTCCTCCTCTATAACTCCACTATATAATATAGAATTTAGGCGGCACCCTGAATCATATTAGAGTAGTAGTAGTGGTGGCAGGACATAGTAGAGTGGCTTGGCACACAACAGCTAGAAGGTTGCCAACGCCTGCTCTAGATCTTAGATTGGATGATATAGCCTTGATTATTAGAGTGTATAATCCTGATTTGCTTGATTTTTCCAAAGCACCTGAAAAATATGATCAATTTAGCTAATATATATTATATATAAATATATTTCTTAAAATAAATAATATTCAATTTTACAATGATGATTTTATTTATCAAACTTACATTTTTGAAGATTACTTATTGGTAAAGTAGCCAGATAGCATCTTCTCCGGGTACATAATTATTATCTCATATTTATACTCTTCATAGAATTATTTAGGATGTATTAGATCTATTTAAACACATTTTTCAGAAAAAAATTCTTTATTGATACTAATAATAATTAGTGAATAATTTGTTCAAGAACCGATCAACTACAGTATCTTGTAAAATTTTTAATAGCATTTAACACTATAATTAATAAATCTGGACAAAAATTTGAACATAGCATTTTTTTCAATAATGAATAAAATCAATCAAATAAAAAATAAAAGATACATGACTATAAATATGTTTTATTTTATATATGTATCTGTAATATTTTCATTAAAGAATTTATTTCAAGATTTAAAAAAAAAATTCGACTAAAATAGATATAAAATATATTATAGTAGCAGAATATAAATGATATACCGTTCTTAGGCATAAGCAACATCAAAAGCTATTTAAATGTTCCAAATATTAATTTAATCTGCAACTAAAAGTGCTAGCAAAAAATCTGCCTGTTCAATGTCTGATAACTTAATTATTTTTCTTCTGATTATATGACTCCTGACTTTTAGACGATTTTATTTCTGAGCTTTTCTGAATGGTGAAATCCTGAATTTTTGTACGAATCTTGATTTCTATTGTTCCATTATATATAACAATTTATTCTTTTCTAAAGTTTATATAATTGTAAGATGGTCTCGAATACTCCAAATTTTAGAAAGTTTACTCCATTCATATATCTCTGAAAAACAAAACAAATGTTAGTAAACCATTATAATATGGTAAATAATTGATATTTATTTGAAATGTGTTTGAAAGTAATATTTACCTTGTGCTATTAATTGTTTCTGATTCCTTAATTTTTGTAGATGATCAAACTATATATTTGCCATAGTAATCAAAGCTATTAACTAAATACTCTAGATATTTTTATATAAAAATACACTTAATTATATTATATATAAATAAAAATATTACTGACCAAATAATGCAAAAAAATAAATTAATTTAATACAAAAAACCTTCAATAGTATAATTATTTATTATGTAATATATAAAGCTACAACTTATCAATAACTCATTTAAAAATAAATCGTATACATGAAATCATAATACTGATAATATAATAATTATATGCTTGGCAAGAAAATAACATTTTTCAATATGGCAATGATTTTCCAATATTTTGTACAATTATAAAGTAAGTAAATTTCGAAAAAAATAAAGAATTTATGAATAAGTGCAATTTTATATTGCACATTTGAATTGCGAGGGCAATTTTGCCCAGTATAATATAAATTTCCATAACTTCGCTTTAATTAGTATCTTATTTCAAATGATATTACATACAAAGTAAATATAAACAAATCAGGAAAATTAATTATCTACTGAACTTCATAAATTTCATATTTGTATAGTTTATATTCTGTACTATACAAATAAACTAACCATATACATTGCATTTTAGTACTTAATGATCATATGATAATGATAATGATTAATATTCAAATTGAAATTAAATTTCTTAAAAAAAATTCATATATATATAATTTCCTTAAATTTATACTTATTATTATGTTTGCTTAATTAATCTCATATTTGTTTATTTCATATTAATATGTTTTATAGAGAACGTGCAAGTAAAGCTTGAGTTTGTAAATAAACATTTTAATTTGTCTTTGTTGAATAATGATAATTAAATTATGTCTTTGTATCAAGTCTATTTTTTCTGGAATATTTTCGATTAACAATATATATCTAGATCTAATTTCAATCAAATCAATTTCTCTTACAATGAAATTTTTTCTTCAGTACAAATGATCTATTTTGAATACAGTTTTTGGCCATAAAAAAGTGAATTTTGGAGTTTGATTTATTTAGATCTAATTATGCTATTTAATAGTCCGAATTTTATATTGATGATAAATGTAGTACGTAATTAAAAAGTTTAATTTTTTTCCCTTATTATCTATTGAAAACTATATAAAAAATTTAAGAGTACGACTTGCAATTGCATAAATAAAACTTAAATTTCAATAAACATAAATGATATATGTATGTATTTTGTATATATAACTAGTTTATGATAAATATTGCATAATTGTTTTAAATTTATTGTATTACTGTATACTGTTATGTATTCTGTAAAAAGGCAGCTCAATTTAAAGTTACTGATTGATTTTATCACAATGATAAACCGTTATTGTAATATATAGAAACTATTTGCACTATCTATTATCATAGCAGGCTAAATGGCTCACAAAACCAAAAAAATGATCATAAGCTCAAATTAACCTTTCCATCATTATTGGTGTTTTTTGATAAAAACAATTACCAAAAATTAAAAAAAAAAATCGAGTGGTTTTGGTAAAAAATCGATTTTTCTAAAGATAAAATGAGTATGTATCAGATGCTATGATCATCTATTTGGGTTTTGCAAACATGGCATAAAATAATGACTTATTTGTATACATATGATTAACATTCAACTTAATAATAAAATATGAGTATCATTTCTTGTTTGTAATTTTTGATATAAATATATCATCTTTTTATATTTTACGTATGAGTATTAGGTTTATTGGCTATTTGATATACTTAGTTCTGCAAACTTAATAGAAATTTCTGAACTAGCTAGTGTATCTATTATTTATATTTTTTATAAATAAGTTTCAAAATTAAAAATTATTCAGCGGTATTACATAATGAGAAAATAAAATAATTCTGGAAGTACTATATCTACAAGCGATATCTAAATGGCAGAACAAGATTTCAGAGCATTATTTTCATTAGAGTTTATAGAATTAAAAAAAAAATTAAGTATCATAATATTTATTTTTACATATTTTAGTCGATATATTCTCTAATTTTATTTCTCTATTTTTTTCTCAAATGTAGAAAATATCAATCCCAAAGTTCAAACATCTACTACGTTCAATATTACGTTATTACTACTGTCACTCTTATTCTATTAACAAAAGTTAAATAACGCCCGGAAATTTTGTTCTCTATGATTTCGATTTTCAATTCACTACCCTAAAACGTATATTTCTTACTTACTAATCTACTCCTAAAAAAGCAAATCTATATAATAACGTTTTAACACATAAAGCTAGTACGACATTTAATATTAGAGCAGACTTAATTTTTTGTTTATATTCGTCATGTATAAAAATTTAGAAAATAATACTAATGTAGTTAAAGCTAAATTCTAAACAATTTTGTCTAATTATGTTAAGAGATCATAAGTGAGTATCTTTGATTCATCATCAAATGTGAGTTGATGAAAATACTAGAAGTTGCAATTCTACATTTAATCAATATTATTAGAAGATCGAGTTTTTCTTTAATACTAAATGCTTATATTAAATATATATATTCATAATTGTCACCATATCGATATATTTATTATTTGAGGTATTGTTTATGCAGTAAATAATAATTTTTAACTGTTATGGCATATATGATTTGTTATAAAAATACTGTAGAATCTATTAATTAATTAGCTTTTGTATACCAGTAAAAAACAAAGATTATACTATTATTTGGAATAGGTTCTTTATTAAACGATATATGTTTTGGGCTGAGTTTTCTGGAATAATTAGTTAGGCTGAGCTTTCCCGGGTCAACTTGTATGAAGCTGGAAAATTTCACTGGGGCATATTGCGATTATGGTTCTTTGGGTGATTTTAAAAAACTTTGCCTAAGAAACTGTAACTCGAAACTAAATTTCGAGCCAGCGAAACTATCAATAAAGTTTTTTCTGCATTTATCAACTAATTTGAAGAATCAGGGTTACTCTAACTTTACGAAACGTAATTTACTTCCGAGCTATAGTTTTTTCGATAAAGTTTCATCAAATCCCCCATAACCATATAATTAAAAATTTGGCTTGAGTAAAAAGTGTAAGCAAATATAATGAACTTGCTTGAAATAAACCTATTATTGCAAAGGTAAATTGGACGCATATTTGTTGTTCCTGTAGAGTAGTAAGATATTGAATTTGGGTAGATTATTATTAC